TCATCCCATCCCGATTTTGACTGTCGCATAGTGTTATCTTTATAGTACACAGTTTACGCCACTAGTGGTGAATGAGAGAGCTTTTCTCTAATACTTTTGTTATAGATTCTCGAATAACAAAAGTATTTCGAACCATCATGCCATCTGAATTTTACATGAATTTTTCCGTTTTTGGTAAATTATTTCTGTGATTTGCCCATATAAAACATTTAATATATACATACAAGCGTGAATAAATGCTCACATTAGTACAAACATTCATACATAAGTATAACATAGCAAAATTTCTTCAATGGTGAGCCAAATTAGGCATTAACTATACGCTAGAGAATAAAGCAGCAAATTTGCGGTAAGCTAACAAGCCGCATTACTCATACAATGGATGTAAATATGTACCGCTAAATATGAGAGTATCTATTAAGGAGAGAAAATTTTTTTTTTGACCATGCATTTGATGCATTGATCGATTGTTGCTTTTGTAAACGCGTGCATACAATATTATATATTATTACCCAGCTAGCATATTATTCGGAGGAGCGCTCCGAATATGGAGTTAAAAAGAACTCCCATAGATAGACTTGTAAGGAGCGATTCCGGAGCGCTCCGAATATGGAGTCATAAGAGACTCTCACAGCAACACCTCGAATGAGTTTTTTCGGAGGGCTCTGAATATTGGGGCGAACAGGGAGTCTTGCTTTTCTTTTCTTTGTATCTTAGTCTGTAAGATGAAAATTAAATTTTCAATGAGAAAGAGGGTCGTCGCTTCCGAATGTTCCTGGAAAGGGAGACTAAAAAAAAAATCTGTTGGCATTATGGCAGTTGCAAATGCATTAAGAAGTAAGCAATGGTGCATAAAAAATTACTTTTAGCTAAATTTAGAACTTTCCATGCGCGTTTAATAAATTTGATCGTTCTGGCAAAAAATGCAATAGAGTGAGCATAAAGTGGTTCTACACTTCAAAAGAACATTATAAAAAAAAATTATAATTTAAAGTTTCTTTGATAAAAAGAAATGATGAAAACATTTCGAATACTTGTGCATTATAAATTACATTACAAGCATTTTGAAAAACCGTAAAGCCTCCTTTTCTTTCATTTGTAGGAGCACTCCCAAAACTCTCCGTCTAGTCAAAGTTATCTTTGAAAGTTTTAAGGTGTAATTTCGACAAAATCATAGGCAAATTATCTGAGTGAACTTTTTGGGACTCCGAAATCACTCATTTAGGGAATCGTAAAGCATACTTTTTCTCATATATATTGAGAAGACAATTTCCTGCCGCAGATGTGCTCCTTTGCGACTCTTTTCGGACTCCTAATTGTGCACCCTGCCCACTCCGCTGGTTGGCTGGGTAGGCGTTTTTACTTTCATTCACTTTTACATACCTCGAAAGCAATAAGTGAAAAAAATAAATCAACAGCAAAATACAAAACAAATTGTTTGCTCATACCCATACATATATACATATGTATGCTAACCTCGTTCTACACACTTGACAGTGTAACTGTAAATACCATTAAATAAATCATATTTTATGACATTAATGAGAGCACCAACGGTTTTCGATGGCGTAAGAAGACTGAAAAGGAAGGCTGTCGTTTGGTGAGCTATCGCTTTCCATACTCGCTGGGCAGTCTGTGAGCCATCACGGGATTTAACTTATGGCCATACATATGTATGTATAATGCCAAATAAATGAGAGTATTGGCAAGAGGAATGTCACAAACTTTTACTTTAGCTATTTTATAGGCTAGACATTTGGGCAAATGCACTTAGTTCTACATGTCTAAGCAGTAAGTGACCTATACATTGGCTTAGTTGGTGTTAGTTATCACTTAGATCCGAAGCAAGAAATTCCACCACTCTCTTTCTGAACTGAAACTTCTTTAGCAGCGGTAATGAAATAAAAAGTTCCGCTTTAAATAATATTGAGGGGTGAATTATCGAAATTTGCTACGTGGGTTAAGACTAAGTGTTGCCGCCACTGTCTAAAATCGATTGTTTTCTAGAATTAATCTACAACTTTCATTTTGTTTATCGATAACTTATTGATCCTAAAACGAGTTATATGTATAATTGCGCCAATTCTTTAAAAAAATCCATCCGCCATTTTGAATTTTCAGATTCGTAATCAACGACCCTAAAAACCCTTGGACATGAAGTTTAATAAGGTTTGAAAAATTAAAAGCAATATTCTATTGACCGATTCAACATAACGATAGATAGATAGATAGACCCGGTAGGGCTATGGTGCCCTTAGCTCATCACAACGCCTCGACTAACCGTAGGTATTCTATAAATTTGATCATAGATCTCGAGGATAGGGAGTGTAGGGGTGCCTCTCTTTCTCTATGCTCCTGCATATAACGGCATCACACTCCATGAGAAGTTGTAAAGGAGTCTCCTTGGCCGCATCGCAAAAGTGACATAGGTCACTGGACCAGATTCCTTATTTTTACAGGTGCCCGCTTAGTCTGCAATGGCCCGTCATAAAACCTATAATGGTTCTTATTTTCTCCTTGGGAATAACCCTCTTAACACGATTTTTTCCTGACACAGACGAATGGTGCTACACCAGTGCAGTTTCCTCAGTTTGGTATTTTCCTTTCAGAGCATGTCCTTTATAGTGTTGGAACCCACCACAAGAAAGGGCGCAGGTCCTATCGTGGTCGAGGCTGCGACCATTCTGGCCAACTATTCAGCTTCATGATTTCCTTCAACCTCCATGTGCCCTGGTGCCCAATTCAGTTGAATATCATTAACCTCATCCAGAGCATTAAGCCTCTCTACATACTCCAAAACCAAGGGAGACTTGATCTCGAATGATGAGAGAGCCTAAATAGCCGCCTGACTAAAGCTTGCAATATGTATCCTCTTGCTTCGATAATTTCTTCGAACGTTAATCTCAACACACAAACATAAGTCTGTTAAGGGTTGTTTTTCCCATGGAAACCACAAATAACTTGATCTAGAAAATTCACGTCTAAGCAATGGTTGCTATCAGAAATACTGCCTATTGTGTAGGCTCTTAAAAATATATTTTCTGCTACTTTTTAAGTTTAGTTTCCAACTGGCGTAAAAAACACATATGAAAATTAAAAAATTTTCTAACAGCGGCTGCCCCTCGATAGAAAATGGCAAACCTATTATTAAGCGCACTACAAGTTGATAAGTTCTAAATATTTATTTTTAGTTATTTTTTATCGTTCTTTGACAAAAACCATATAAATCCAAGTTTCAAACTTTGTACAATATTTAAAAAGCATTCAACAAATTTTCGTAACAATTTCAAGTTTTTTATTAGACTTCCTGGAAATATTTTGAATGTACAATTTAGAAGTCCATGTTTTTTTGGTATAATTAAGTGCAAGTTCGAAGTTCCGTTTGTTTTGCCAATTTTTTTACGGAGTTGTTAATTTTCTTACGTAAAAAGTATTTTTGACAAATTTTTAATAATAATAATAATGTTCTTCGTCAAAATTGTTTTAAGAAATTTCCGATCCATAGTATAAAAGGTCGAAAAGCTTTAGTTTATTTGATGGTAGTTATGAGAGTGTCCTGCCCTAGTGTGCGACGCCGAGAAAATAGCATAATTGCTAGGAGTAGCAAATGTGGGCTTAGTGCTGCAACAAATATGTTAAATCAACAACAAAAGATACTTATGTATGTATATTTCTTGGCGTTCATCATACGGGTACTTATGTATGTAAACCCGACAAGCTGATTTGAGGAGTGTCTAATCAAAAGATGATTTATTCGATACTTCAAATATGTGGCGGATGTTCAAACCAACGTTTCGGTGAATGACGTATGGCTCATGACGTGCCAAGCAATAACAAATTGTTTCCTATTTTCTTCTTAACCTCGTAGCTACCATATTTGCTTGTTATCTGCAGATACAGCTACAATCAACAACTGTCAAATAAAACAGAAGAAATCATAACATCGTCAAAATCTTTTAAAGCAAGCATTAAACAACTGAAACAACTTTCTAGTCAACCCACTACTTATTTTAGCTCTTAGTTCGTGTCATCCCTGTAAAAAACTGTGCGACTAATCTCTAAAGAGAGTATTCCGAGATTACTCTCAATCGGGTACAATCGGGCATTAATTAGTCCCAACTAATCTCATACGGGTACTAATGGAGGTCAATTAGTCTCGACTCATCCCTTGTGGGTATAATTGGAGATCAATTAGTCCCCAATTCATCTCTAACGGGTACTATTAACGATTTAATGATATGTACGCTCTTAGTCAATGAAATTTCATGTGGGGCGTTGGCACACAGAGAGAGTATTCGCCTAACAAAACTGAGCATCCCGGTTCGAATCTCAGCTGGCGAAAATTTTTTTTATTTTTTAAAAGTGACTAGTCGCTTTTTATACCCTTTCGGGTATAAATGTGAACAATTAGTCTCTTCATAGGACATGCCCGAACAAAAGCGATCAGTTCATTCCATATAAAGAGATCAAAAGTGGTATTAGTCGCATGCTCCTTTGCGATTGCTCCCGAAGTCATCCTGGATTAGTCCCATTTTTTGCAGGGATTGTAGAATGTATGCATGTATGTAATTTGTAGCAAAGAGCGCGAACTTAAGTAGTTAAAACAAATGCTAGTACATTTAAGTTTGAAAGCACGTAGAGTTTCTTATTTTTGCATAAGCCGTAATCGCAATAACAAATCGCCGCATATATATATTAATCCAGTTTTCACAATCATGCTCATTTCAAACTTTTCCATTACCTTTATAAATGTGCGCAAATGTTGTCAAAAAGTTTTCTTTTATTACTGCTGCATGCATACTTGAATGTACGCACCTTCAAACATACATATAAATATATATGTACTACTATGCGTGAAGGTAAGCGCATAAAAACTAAGTTAACTTTGCCATAGGCGCCACACACACTCAGCTGCTACCATAAATAATATGGCACGACATGACGTTTGAAAGCTATAAACCTACCTACATATGTACGTACTAGGGATCTCGGTATTTTTGAATGTCCGAAAATCCCGGAATTTTCTTGCATTGATTCCCTTGATCCTGAAAAAGTTTAACTTGTAAGAACTTGTTTATGAAATTGAAGTATGACTTTTGTTAATTGCCATTTTGACAACAATTAACAAAAAGCTTGAAACTGTGCTTTTAAACTTGCAGTCTGAGTATTTTTTTGTAAAAGATTTAAATTAATGTACTCATAGCGTCGCTATTGTAATGGGCGACATACACGGTGCGTCTGACTTGCGAGTCGGTTTGGATGTGTTTGTGAAAATAAATATGTGTTAGTTACGCCAACATGTTTCCCGGCATGACTCTGAATGATTCAACTGTATGTAGTCGAAGGCGAGTCAACATGTACACAAATGACGCGCGAGTCAGACGCACCGTGTATGCCGCCTATTACATCAATCTACTCAAAACTTCCTCAATTCGAAAAACTTATAAATTATCCGACCTGCTGGTAAGTAAAAGAAGTTCAAATATTTTGTAATGGTGGAGATAGGGGTCATTCTTCAAATAGCTTATGACTAACTTTTGACAGTTCAGTCTAAAAGTGTTGAGGGCGAAATATGTTTTTATCGGCAGGTTTTGTATGTATAACAAGTTCAGGTCAAGATGAGAAGACTCCTTTTTAAATACTTTGCTGCTCTTACGTACACATTTTAAGTGCAATAATAACAACACTGGCACAAAAAAATGAGGTGTGTGCCTCTAACCAGACCCACCCACCGACATGTATTTCGACCCGCTGAACCCGAATCTGAGGTCCGTTTGACTCGCCAAAAATTCGCCATTCGCAATTTCTTTGTGGACTAGAATAAACATGTTTAGATAATTTCTTTTTGTATATTTTTGTTTAATGTTTTTCATTAATCATTACTTTCAAATGTACCTGGTATTTACATTGTTATTTGTGATGAATGCGTTCCTCAATCACATGGTTTTTTAAATATAATTTAAAAAGGTATTACTTTAAAATTTGCCTGTATTAATAAATATGTGATTTTTACAATCATAATATTTAAGTAGTTTTATTTCATGGTATGTTTAAATAAATGCACCGAGAAAAGGGTTTAGTTACACCAAATCAATGTATTTTTGTCAACATATGATTAAACAAATCATAGTTACATTATATTCGTTATAGCTACCAAATCATGTGTTGAGGGAAATATATTTGGCTGACTTTTTTCTGCGTGTGCTTTCAGTTCGTGCATTTTTACTCATATTCATAATAGTTGCATCTCAATGTGAATCCCGGGATCCCGGGATTACTTAAAAAAATAGCCATAAATCCCGGCATCGCAATTTTACGTACTTTTTACACATAACATGAGTGTAGTAACCCTGCAAAAATCGTTGGACCATGTGGTCCATTTGGAGTCCTTACAATATAGTCTTCTGTAATGCAGTTGCGGACAAAATCGTGTCTCCACCACCAACTTATTTTTACCCTATCAATACTCGTATTTTAACGATCCCTACACGATTTTTATTGGACTGTCTTGCCAATTTGCAGGTACCCCATGAAGTAATAGGTTGGAATAGTTTTGTACTACTCTAATGTAATGCAAAGCTTGAGTATATCGTCCTACCCTAGGACACTGAAATGTTAATTGGACCACATTTTTTATATGCATTGCGGTTAATTTTGGAGTGCTCCTTGACCCGTAGGGAGTTCTCTTTACATGCGTGCATGAAGTAGAGTGAAGCTACCCAGCATAAAACATGCTTATCACACAACTTAAAAAGGAATCGAACTAGGCGATGGGAATCGCGTATCCTTTCGCCTCAGGAAGGCATTACTTAATTGGAACATGTCATTGGCCATAACAGAATACATGGCAAAAAGGATCCAGAGAAGCGAACAATGAATGCCTTACAGAGATAGATATGTACATTAGGGCAGGTCAATTTGTGTTACAGATTTTTTCGACTATGCGCGTATGCCGCAGAAGGACTCTACGTGTAACTTTAAGCTAATTTTCCGATGGATCCAAAATGCAAAAACAGGTTTCTTCGCATTTTGCTTTAGTGTCGTAAAGAAGTGCTTAAGTTTTGTATAAAAACATGGAATAAGGGATTTTTTGATATGAGGAACTTTATGGACTTTTTCTTAAAAATTCCAGCAGAGGGCGCAGGGCGAAAATTTTCACTTTTTCTTCGAAACCTATTTTATTAATTTGGCAACTCTAAATTGATCTTAGACTCATGGTTTTTTCAGCAAATTTATTTTAAATTGCACGTAGAGTCCTTCAATGCTATACGCTCATAGTCAACCAAAATTTACGCGCTCTAATGTACATATATTAAATCGAGAACAGAAAATACAGTTTCTCTCAAAATTAACTCTTTGCCATTTAATTCTCTTCGATTTCATTTGCAACTAAAATTTTTATAAATCAATTTGTATAAACACATATGTATACATGTATCTATTTAGATCTTACTTAAAAATCGGTATAAACGTATGTAATTAAACTTAAAATTGATTTATATAAAATGGAAATTTTCACAGAAAGAAACGGTAGAAAACAAATTCTTAGGTATTCATTCTATTTTGCAGCTGACTACGATGAAACATTCGACTTTGCATTCCCCGTAATAAAACAAAAGCCCAAAATAAAAACTCACGAAGACATATGGAATGGCACATACATAATTGCGGCAGCAGCGTTTTTACCGCCAAAGTCTTTCGGTTGGTTTAAATTTATTTATATTTTTACCGTCCAGCGTGGGCGGCACATTGTTGATTTTAATAATTTCTATTAACTTTGCAAATGCTTTTTACCATTTTTATTTCTAGCAAATATACACACACGTACGTACCTAACAAATAAAAATATTTTAATGAAAATTTCCAACTCAAAATAACAGTTTACGGAAGCAGTCCTCAGCCGCAATTTTGTGCGTACTCGGACGAATTTCACTGCGGTAACTGAACAGCTGTTCGCTTACCGCCGACCGCTTTACCGTCGCCCGCTGCAATTCTGAGTAGAGCTTAAGATGCGAAATAAATAAAATATTCTAATCGCCCAATTCTGTGTGTTTCTTGATAAATTATTTGTAAAGAAATTTTATCAAAATAAAAAGCTGAAGAAGCTAAAAAGGGAGCTGATTTCCACATGAGCGGAACTGATTTCATAGTCACATGTGAAAAACATGAATTTAAAAGCAAAAAAGCTTTTGACTGCCGTAGCCGAGTAGGTAAAGATGTCGGCTATAAATTCCGTATGTTGGCAGGTTCAAATGCCGGCACATGCAGTATTTAAATGATAGAAACAAATTTTCTAATATAAAAAAATTTATAACTTTCATATGAAATTTTAATTTTTAAACGCTCGTCAATAGTGTTTTCAATCTTGATAATTTATCAGGAAAAGAATCTTCAAGAATAACGAAAATTTTTAAATTTTAAAAAACGACGAAATATGCAAATGTTTTCAACATTCGAAAACTTACAACTTCGTTTAATCAATTTTGTATATTCGACACTTTTACTTAGAAAAAATTTGTTAGAATTCCTACAATTCTCAAAATTTTTGAAAAATAAAAAATTCCTAGAAATCTAGTATTCATCATTATTTCAAATTGCGGTGATTTTTAAACTTATATACATATTATATGTATGGCCCTGTTTTGTCATCTGTGCTACAATTAGAATTCTTCATAAATAATAAAAAAAATTTAGAAAATATTCCCGATTCCCGATTTGTTGCTGGGTAGCGCACTTGTGCTGCAAAAACAGCTAGCACTCAGTAATTCCAGCACAGCTCCGAGCTGAATGTACCGCTTGTGTCTTGAGTGTTTTAAACTGTGCAAGGATTATATAAACTTTTGACTTTTCCTTTTATTACAATTTTTCGCGAGGCGGTCTCAACGGTAAGCAATACATTTTTCCACCCAATAAGCTTATACACTGTTGTTCGTGTTTTGCTTACACCTTGTCACCTGCTCCTTCATGCGAATGTGTATGTGTGCACAAAAGATTTCTAGTGTTTTATGATACACATGCACATAAATACATATATGCATTGGATGTATGTGTGTATGTGCATGGCTGCGTCCTTTGGCGACATTCGCCTTGAAACTTCGAAGCAGCAGACGTGATGTGAGTTTAACAGCAGCCGTCTTTCGGCAAAACAACGCAACTGAAAAGCAATTGTACACACACATATATGTATGTATGTACATTAGGGTAGTCCTTAAAACCAAATGAGCAATTTTTTCCAATCGCACCCCCTCAATCGGTAATAAGATGTTCACAGATATCATATATAAATTTTGGTTTCGATTGGAGACGGGGAAGGCGTGTCGCATAGGAAACAAAGTTCAAATTCTCCTATGTAGATTCAAAAAATTAAATTTGATTTTTTTTTCATCTAATACCCAAAATCGATACTACCATGGTCGAAGATATCACATCAAAATGTTGGTCCCGATTGCAGTCGGCTAAGACGGCTTCATAGGGTAATCTGAAATGTACGCCCTATGCGACACGCCTTAACCGCCTCTAATCGGGACCTATATGTGATATCTCCGACTATAGTAGCGTCGAAGTAGTGGTTGAAGCTAGGAAATCTGATGTAATAATTTGCTTCCTACATTTAAGGACCACCCTAATGCAAATACACTTCAACAAGCACAAAAACATGCTAGTATGTATGTAATGTGCACATGTGTATTTTAGTCTATTAGCAACTATTTTTGTAAACGTGCATGCATTTAAATTCCCGTGCTTTGAATTTCTTGTCCCACCCACTGATATGCGACAGGCTGTTGCAATTTTCAATTTTCCTAAAGTTTGACTTCGTGAACAACCTTGTGAGATGGTATTGAGAAAAGCAGAAATTTTTTGATGTAAGCATATGTTTGTGCAATCAATTACGACATGCTGTTTATATCCTGTTTACCAGTGCTAAGCTTACAAGGGAGAGAAAAACCAAATCAAAAGTTGCTAAGAACAAATTTTTTGTGTGTAAGTATTTACGAATTTTCATTTCAATATGGAAATTTAGATAATTTTATTTTTTTTTTGAGAAATTACTTCAAATGCACACAGCGACCTCGCCTTTAACCTTAGCACTACGGAGCTGGTCTAATTCACTGTGAAATATAAGATCCTCGTTTCATCGGTTTTCCTCGATAGAGGATATTCGCCTGCAGAGTTCGGACAGGGTTAGGTACTTAGTCCTAATCCTGGATGGATAGCTGTCGTAGCAGCGCACAGTGGCTCAAAACTGGAATTTAGGGAAACACGAAAGCTTGGATAAATCAATAAATACTGAAGCTAATTTATTCAAAATTGCAAAAATGTTTGCAATAATTCTTTAGCAAAAAGTGCGCTTATAATAAAATGTTGGAAAATGGGCGTGACCCCGCCCACTTAACTCCACATATGTGTATCTCGGTAACCGTTCGAT